CGGTACTGTTTCGTCAACTACGAACAACTGCAGTATAGGGCAAAAAACGAAATTCATTGACTTCTTCTACATAGAAGAAATAACCTCATGCACTATTTCCGTCATCAGCATTTCATTACAATCATTAACTTCAATAATCGACAACATCTATGAAATTCACGGAGTACTCAATACATAACTGGAATCGCGCGTAACACAGTGAAGTCGATGAATAGAGGAGAATATGCACACATCAATTGGAACAAAGCAAGTAAAATGTAACAAACGAAAAATCTATTTACAATTACTGACAGCGAGAAATGAATTATTGGGAAGAAACCATGGGAATAATCCAAAATAAATGGTGAAGCTTTTGAACTTTGGTCACTAACCCACACAAACCCAGCTTATCGCAAACCGTAACTAATGTAGCGTAAACAGCAATTTGGTGATGATTTCTAGGCACTCACGGAAAACAGAGATAACCGTGCATCTCTGCTTCTCTTCTGTGAGTTGGTTATGTCGCTGGTTCCGTATTTACAGAAAACTGAGAATAATTCTCAGCGGTGTATGAACAGTCCATAATTTCCATTTTGTTCATTACAAAGTCATTTCAACGCAAAATTAAGATGTTTTTTTAGGAAACTGCTCGAAACTTAAGCTTTGGTATTATTCTCTGGAGATCAGAAAAGTCTGTGACAATGGAACTTCTTAACTAGAAGAAAACTTGAAAGAACAGAACAGATCTCAATAAAATCTCCGCTAAAAATATATGATATGAAAATATGTTCGTGTTGACGTCAAATGAAAAAAGAAAATCAATCACAGAATTCAATTCCAAATCTATAGGCGCTTTCGTTCGTTAATTATCGAATAGGTGGTCCTGAAAGATAAGCCGCACGTAAGGCTTCTCGGTAGCGAGAAGCGTTGTACAAAACGGGCACACGGGATGAAAGCTGTTTGTGCCATGAGGCAGTGGAATTCGAGACCAGAATCTGGAAGCAGCGAGTAAAGCCCTACTTTGCAAATGAATTAGGTTCAAAATTTCCAACGAAACAGTGAAAAAGTTTCATTACATTGCGTACATTACATCCTATCTGCAACTGCTTACCTCACAGTATTCAAGCTAGCTACATGACCACAAGGGTTAAATGCATAGTCTAGATTGCCAGAATCCAAATGAAATGACGATTCCATACCCATGGTCAACTGCAATATAAATGAAATTCATTTTAAAAAGGAGCTAGTTGCATTAAACAGCTGAACCAGAAGTTGGACGTACGGGTTTGGAGGATTTAGGGGCTTTAAGCCGGCTCAATCATGCGGAGTAAAAAAAATATCATGACGTTTGTTTTCGAGAAGAAGATTTTTAGAAAAAAAGTCAAGGAACTAGCTCCCGTATTAAACGAGCATTTTATTGCTTACCTGTATAACTCTTTCGCTTTCAGCCAAACATATTGGGCACTTATACGATTGTTGACCGTTTGACAGTGCATGATGGCCCCA